CCCATCCCTGGAAGTGTTCAAGGTCAGGCTGGATGGGGTTTTGGGCAACCTGATCGAGTGGAGGTTGTCCCTGCCCATGGCAGGGGGTTGAAACTAGACAATTTTTGAGGTCCCTTCCAACCCAAACCATTCTGTGATTGTATGATGCTAAGAAAAAGTCAAACATTGAAAGAGGGACCCAAAGGGGTTATATATTCTCCAAAACCAGAGATATTCAATGCTTAAATGGACAAGGTCCAGAGCTACCTGATCTCCATTTGACATTGACTGTGTTCTGGGCAGGGCTGGACTAGGGACCTCCAGAAGCCAAACTCCTAGGATGAGTAGTGGTAGCAGTGCTGGCATTCAGCTGGCAGCTGGATGCAGGATTTCTGCTGGCCACATACACATCTGATGGCAGCACTTGAGATGCCATAGGGTATCTGACATCCACACGGGGCTGGCACAGGGCAAACAGGGGCTGGAGAAGCCCCATGTCTCTCCAGAGTGGCAGGTGGAGGCCAGGAGAAAATCCTAATGCAGCTAGAATGGCACTAGCACTGATTTAGGGTGCCCTAAGAGATCTTGGTGGACTGACCAAACATATGTGTTACTCCAGAGGGAGCTGAACTCCTCTACAGGCTCTGCTGACTTTATTGACCAGATCTGTCTTGTCCAGAGTGGGAGCTCAGGCACAGCTTACATCAAGGCACTGCATTGTCCTTAATCTGTGAGCTGAATCCCACCAAGATGGGGGCATTTCAGCTTCTGTTTGTATAGGAATTTGAAATCTCTAGTGTTTGTTCCTGCAGGGTTCATCTTCCAGTGTCAGATACATCTCCAGCCAGAGATTCTGGCCCTGGCTCTGCTGTAGCATCAATGTTACATCTATGGCCACAAGGAGCTGTGGTGGGGGGCATTTCGATGAAAGTGTCAATAAAACCTCAAAGGTCAGAGTCCAGAACTGTGATGAGCTTGTCATAGGTTAACAAGGCTTAGAGGGAAGGAAAGATCTTGTGCTGGAAGAAATGAGATCTCTATGACTTTCTTGAACTACCGGACTAATAATCAGTTTACTCCCAAATACCACAAGAAAATATTGTTCTTTAGTTCAAGCTTCTTAAAAAGGTACTTAGTTTTAAAAGCTTTGCTGGTCCAAGACATCATTGCATTGTCCTCTTGATGATATTTTTATTGCAATAGACTACATGGTCCGAAGGGACATGACGTTCCCCAAAGTCCTGAAGTCAGTACATCCTGTGTTCCTCTTCATGAGTTCAATTCTCATTTTTGTTCCAGCTGGCTTGGCCTACTCCAATTTGGTGTACGACTGGGTGAAAGCTGCTGTCATGTTTGGGGTCATCAACACCATTGCTAGACTGGACCACTTAGACCCACCCCAGCCACCGAAATGCATCACCATGCTCTACGTCTTCGCAGAAACGTGAGTACCTCACATGCATTGATGAAGAGAGACAGCATGTTTGACCTGAATGAAATGTGCATGGAGGGGAGGACGTCTGGGCTGTGCTTCTGAGCAGCTGGTCTGTAAGTTGGAGACTACCTACACTGAACAGTCTATACTGAACCCACAGTCTAGACCTGGCCATAGCCCAGGGAAATATTCTTGGGCAGGAAGCAATGGATAAGATAGGTTATGACCACATCAGCAGTGGGACCTGTTCCAGGAAGGAGCATGGAGAACTGCTGTGAACATGGTTCTAATGTGCTTTTTATCATCTGCATTTTAGGCATTTTGACAGAGGGATTAATGACTGGCTGTGCAAGTAAGTGTCTAATCAACCGTCTCTAGTCTGGTTCAGGGTCGTCCCTTTCATCATGTAACAATGAAGCATTAAATGCTGTTCATCCCAAAGCTGGGGTGTCCTCTCTTCTGGGTGAATCCCACTAAGGCATGAAGTCATGTTTGGTCTGTTTATCCCTAAGACCATTGAATTAATTACCACAAAGTGCAACAGCCCTCCCCCAAAGTTAGAAATGAGTCCTGTCCCAGAAAACCCTTTAAGTCTGGTGGGTTTAGCGTTCCCTCAAGGGAGGAAGAGTCAGGTTCATATTCCACGAGGAGGAAAGGGGTATTGAGCCCAGGTCTCCTACATCCTGGGTAACAAGGGTGGCCTGAGCTCCATCTACATCTCCCTCAGCCCTTCAGCTCTCTTCAGCTATGACTAAACACCAGCAAACCTATACTGAAGGTGGTGGCTCCTCCATGCTGAAATCCTGTACACCAGCAAGCATGAGGTAGCCTGCAGCTCTATGGATTCCCACATTTTATCAACCCCTTACCTGCAAGAGGGGGAAAGGGTGGTATTTTGTCCTTAAGGAGCTATAGGTTTGTGAGGAAAACAAGCTACATGTAGCTGGACTGTAGTGAAAATCACTTTATTGCTAGAAGCTGTCAGCCAAAACATCTTTCCTGGTGGGTCAGTGTGGGAGGAGGGACTCCAGAGGGCTCTCATTGATTATGGGGAGCACCAACCACTTTCCTTGGCTGTTAGGTATGTGTATGACCACATTGGAGAGAACCACGACAACATCATGAAGGAGCTCATGGCCACAATCGCTACCTTTGCTGTCACCACCCTGTGGCTGGGGCCCTGTGAGATCGTTTACATCTGGTCTGTCTTCAACTGCTTTGGCCTCAACTTTGAGCTCTGGGTGCAGAAGTTCTTCCAGCAGGAACCCTTTGCCAAACTGGAGGTGAGGAGTTGGGCTGCGAGTGGATGGGGGAAGATCAATGGATCTGGGGCCAAATCCGCTGCTGGAAAACATCCATGACTGTACAGAGCTCAAACTTGTTTATACAAGATCCATTTTCAGCTGAGACTGAAAAGCAACATCCTTGATGATGCCATGCAGCTCCATGTCCAGGCATACTGCCTGGAGACCTGAAGATCTCTCCTGTGGTCAACTGTGAAAAGGAAGCACAGTCCTGGTGCTCTGTAACCCTTCATTTTATACACTGTGTCACCCACCCAGAGCAAATTAACATCTGCCCCTATGATGCTTCATGGGAAATTTAGGTTGGGTGTAGAGCTTTCAGAGGAAAAATAGAGGTCCAAGAGAACAAGGAATGCAGCCCCACGGAGGCATCAAAGTACTACAGACAGACACAAAATCTGAGGTCTATCCGTGGGAAAATGTTTATACATTTCCATATGGAAATGATTTGTTCTTCTTCTGCAAAACATCTTGGCATTCTGAGTGGTTTTGATCTGATTTCTGATAAAATCAAATGTTTAGGTACTAGCATGAATTATTTTCAAACCACTCCAAAGTTTAGTGCCCCATCTCTGTTTGGGACCAAGGTGCCTTGGGGACACATTGGAAGAAAAGCTTAGGAAACTCCATCCTGGAAACAATTCTGTTGCTTGTTTTGCCCAACCTAAAGTCCTGATGTCCTAAACTCATTCAGTAGACTCTTTTTGAAGAAAAACTTCGGAGACCAGTCCTCCTGTTTGCTCTCCTCATTGAACTTCTAATCAGATTATAGCATTTGCAGGCAGTGAAATCTCCTTCCCTGCGGCACCGCAATTCTCAGCACTAAGTGGCCTGGGGATTCATCGTGCTCTTTGAAGATTGCTAGAAAACACTTCCCCACTCCACACGCAGCAGCTGCTCCTGAGGATTATGTGCCAGTGACAATTTCACTCTGCTGCCGTCACTAGTTTTCAGTTATCTCTTTTTTTTTTTTTAATTCCTAAGAAACAATTTCTAACAGGAGCTGGGAGTGATTTGCTCATAGGGCTAATAATAATCATGGTATACAACAGCATCCATCTGTCTTGAGGAATGGCTTACCCAAGGCAACAGATGAAGAGAGCAGTACTCAGCCCTTTACAATTAGCTTGAAACCATGCATAACATCTTGCCCCTGCTCATGGGACCTTGAAACACCAGTCCAGAGTCCCAAATGCATCTGAGTCCAGTAGCAGAGCAGAAGTTTTGACTTGTCCTTATGATTCTTCATCCCAGAGACACTAAAGGCTGCTCTAATTTTTGCCTATGCCTCTGTCATCCAAGCTGGAGTTTGGCTAGAGTTGAACCAGTGCATCCCCTTTCCTTACAGCCATGGTTTTTTCTCACTCTCTGCTCTTCTCCCCTCCACAGGCCAAAATGCCAGCGGCCATGTCTCGACGGATTAGGGCAGTTTTTGGGGCAGCAAATTTCTGGGCCATCGTCCTCTACAACATCCTAGCCCTCAACAGCCTGGAGTTTGCACTTCTGGTCACCAAAAGACTCCTTCTGACGGGTAAGGTGCTACCAGCCTTCCCCATCAAGGCACCCTTGTCTTAATGGGGTGACACTGGTAGGGGAGCTGAGAACTGGGACTTCCAAGTCCTCTTGGTGCCCTGGCTTGTTACGTGGCTGCTCTCAAGGCTCTTCATTATTGTTCAAAAAGTGCAGGAAGCTGTTTCTTAGCTCCCATCCTTCTTGTGTGAGCTCTCTGGGGTATGAGCTGCCTTCCAGGTGTGCTTGTACAGCTCCTAGCACAGCCTGCCGCTGTGATTTAGACTCCTTGCAGCAACACAAAGGTCACATTTGCCCCACCAAGGTGGGTTGTGAAATGGTCCCATTGCTGGAGAAAGCTCCTTTTGCTTTAGCAGTTGCTCCTGCGTCAACCTGAAGGTGACAGGTACAAATCCTTGTCGTAGGCTCCTAATGAACCTGATCTGTACAGTTTAAATCAGTGGATGATGGCACTATTTTGAAGTCTTCTTGAGCAGCCCAGGGTATAAATAGCCATCAGGAGCCCACATCCTTCAGCCCCCTCTGGGACGGGGCTGGCATAGGAAATGGATAATGTGACGCTCTGGGCTCAGTGTGCCAGAAATGCCTGCCCGCTGAGCTAGCTGGCTTTTGCTGGTTGCATTATTCATTTCAGAGGTCCTGTTTTAGCAGGTACAAAACCTGTGTCTCCCCTCTGCTGTGGATACCAGACTCATGGTTACAAATGCCGTCAGACCCTTCCCAAATGGAGGGAGAGCTCCTGGCTCTCAGTCACTTACCTAGGTGACAAAAACATGTGTTTTCTGGGCACACACTGTGTCCCCATTAGGTATGGGACAAGGCTGGGGTTGACCCTCAGCATCAGTGGGGCACAAATCTTCCAGAAGGTCACAGTGCTGAACAACGATGGACATGGGCAGGTTGAATGGGCAGAAAGTCAACCACTAAGTCTGAACTTGGATGGCAGAAGGAGTTTTGGAGGTAAGGGAGTGCTCAAAGCCACTCCAGCATGTTCCCACATTAACCGTGGCCCATGATGCCTTTGTGAGTTCAGCCACCACTTCATCTAAAGTCTGATTCTGGGAATTTTTCTCTTTTCTCAGTGAAGCTGTAGGGCTGGATCCACAGTGGAAAACGTTGTTGGCCATCGTGAACTTGTGGGACCTCTCAAATCCTCCTGAGACACAGCAGTGCTGGAGAAGAGCTGGCCCTGCTAGGCAAGCAGGTACAGCAAGATGACCATGTCTCCCTCCATTTTCTAGGTTTCCCTGTCAGCACCTTGTCCATCTGGTTCATCACATACTGTGGAGTGCAGCTGATCAAAGAGCGTGAGCGCATCCTGGCCATCGAGGAGGAGAAGTGTGACAAAGCAAAGGCGGAGTAGAGGGAGGCATTGAAGGGGCTTGTCCCAAAGCCTCATCTCCCCTCCTGCCACCACTGCCAGGCCAGACACTGGCAAGGGCTCTCCAAGCACTCCTGACAATCGGACTGCTGTAGCTCACCCATGCAGAAATCACCTGGAAGGTGCAGATTACCCCATTGCTGCAGAAAAGATTTTCTATATGACACAGTGCTGCAGGAAAGATTTTCTATAAGAAACAGTGGGCGTTTCTCAGGCTCCCCATGCGTGGCAGACTGCTGAGGCAGGCTCCCAGGACATTTCTTTAGTGCCAGAAAGAGTCATCCCCATCATTTTTCTGACCCTCTGACATTGTGCAGACCTAAAGATTTCACCTCCTGCTTCCCATAACACTTGGTCCACCAGCACTCGGCTCTCCCGCAGGACCCATGGCCCACGTCTCCCAGAGGAGACTCTCCAGGTCCCATGGCTGGAGGTTTTAGGGTGGGCCAGACACACAGCTATGAGAAAGGAATTAGCCGGTGCTGAGCCTGCTCTGAGCAGACCATCTCCAGGTCACTTCCAGCCCAAGCATCCCATGTTTCCTTCACCACAAGAAGCGGTCAGCGTCTATGGTTGTGCAGTAAGGAGTGTGAAATGGTTCAGCATGATCTATACCTACCAAGAGGCTAATAAGTACAGTCTTTATAGCAAAGGGAAGGAGGACCAGGAATGGCACATTGAAGGGCAATTATCTCCCCACCACTGTCAGTTGTGCAGAGTGATAGCTGTTACAATCTCTGCAAAACAGGTCCCTTCAGTGCTAAATGTCTTGAAAAAAATTATTTAGTGCCAACGTCAGGCATAGTTAATGAGAGTGCAGGAGCCATACCTGCTTCACAGCCATCGCGCGTTGTGTACACATCGCCTGGGGAGCGGGCGTGCCGAAGAAACACAACTGCTTGGTCCCCAGGCCCCAACTCAGACCCAAAGAGCTCTCCACTGCTGGGTCCGAGACCAATGTGGCCACCACAACCATCCTGCTGTGATATGTGTCCTGGGACTCAAACCAAATCCCACTTGCCTTTTTTACATGCCATGGACAAAGATTTAAACTCACATTCCTACCCATGGCTGTGGAATAGAAGATGCTGTAGCCAACTCTTGCTCATCTCCAGCCATCCATCCCTTTACTCAACTGACTTCAGTGCACACAGCCTAAGCCCGTGACTGCATGGCTGAATGAGCACACACATACGTACAGCCAAAGGAGAAAGACCCTGAATGAAGGGCAGTGACTTGGGGCTGGGTGGTGGAGGGAAAGCCCACGATAGCCTCCTTGGAGAAACAGACTTTGGGACACTGCATAGGGAGCGCATTGAATAAATGTACACAGTGCCTTGGGGAAAAGGCGAGTTACTAACTGAAAAATAGCTCTGTCTCTCTTGCACTTTAGAGTAACTTTCAGTGGCCTTATGTCTGAGTTATGGTGATGTTTGGTGAGGGCAGAGTCTGGACCACTTTGCAATGTGGGTTGAGATGCTTGGTGCTGGTATTCTGGCTTCCCTATGGATGAAACAGGATTGGTTCCTAGCCAGCTTTCAGCTCTGCCAAAGTAATTTGTGAAGTCCCTGATAAATGTCATTTATTTATGTAGTAAATAAATGTTGGACATCTGTGGTGCCTGTCGCTCATCACTGTTATGCTGCTGTAATGTAGGTGACACCCTGCCATCAGAGCTGAGAGACACAAGGATCTGTGTGCAGGTCCTCACCTCCCACCCCTAATAGTGACACAAGAGTTTAACAGAAATCCACCTCAGTGGCATCACCACATTGAAGGTTTGGCTGCAGCTCAATTCATATTCACCTTTATTTTGACTTCACCTTCGTACTGGTGAAATATCAGAGGCCTACTGCCATCATACTGTCATCATGTAGTTTTTGAGTTAGAAGCCACGTTGTTTTTTATTTCTGGGAACTCGACCAAACATGTTGGAATTAAGGGCAGATATTGTGCCTTGGTGGCATCTCTAGGCACATCCCCAAACCCTCTTCAGCTGCCAGGCACATCACTTTCTAACACAGGTCTGCTGCTGGACCTTCAGTAGATGTTTCTTGGCATCTCCATTATTTCAGATTTATTTTTTACCACCAAAACAGCTATGACATCGTGTGCTTCCTTCCAGGGTAAAATTCAACGCCTCTCCTCCATACGGGTGTCCTCGCGCAGCTGAAGCCACCCTAAGCTGCCGAGACCAAAGGCTCTGTCTCTGTGGGTGACTCAGCTCAGGTCCCTCGGTGTCCGGGAGGACAGAGTCACCCACCTCCTGGTGTTGAAGTGAGTGACTCACATGGCAAAGCCCAGTGACTCTGCATTGCCCTCCTGACTTGGATACTCTGGGTGAGAAAATAACCCATTCACTAAGGGTCTAAATTTACCCAGCAGCTGCATCTGCTGGAGCTGCCAGAAAGAGCTAATCTTAGACACTGAGTGAGCGATTTGTTAGAGACACAGTTCATGGGGGAACTTGGGCTTTGCCCCCCTTTGTCTGAAGTTATCCCCTCGTTTATCGCTGCTGTTAGAAGCTCAGGGGGTCTGGTGGCCAGGAGCACCCAAGTGGTGCTATCTCAACCATGTCTCACTGTTCAGCATTGTATATTAGACCCTCAGCCTCAGTGTATGCCTCCATGCAGTGGGATTTATCAACTGTTCATCTCCTGGAGAAGAGTATCTCATCTGACCTGGTTACTGCCTGCCTGTTAGTAAAACTGCCCTGAGAAGCCAAGAAAAGTAATTATTTATTGCAACTACAAAGCCCAATGCATAGCCCTACACTGGACACTTTCTTGTTCAGCCTGACATGGCTGTAATTCCTGCATTCACCTTTCTTCACAAATTTTGTACAGGAGGGAGTGATCCTGCTACATTGCATCCTCTTAGGATGCTTTCCATGTATCCTCACCCACCCCCATGTCTTGGGGGGACTATTGCCCACTTAGAGACACACTTCATAACTGACTTAGACCATTGGTCATCGGAAATCACTGGCTGGAGTCCAGTTACACCTGGAGCCAGTTAACTGAGGGCTATCTCAGAACAGCCCACCTCATTCAGAGCTGTGTTATTATACAGCAGTCAGCATTCTCAGGGGAGTACTGTCGGGAGAGACAATTCACCCATTCATTTGTTCACTGAGAAAATCGAATAGTCATAACTGTAATCAGTGCTCACCCTTATTGCATCCACATGGGCTATCTCATGGAATCATAGCACCACAGAATGGTTTGGGTTGGAAGAGACCTTAAAGATAATCCAGTCCCACCCCCTGCCACGGACAGGGACACCCTCCACTAGACCAGGTTGTCCAAAGCCCCATCCAGCCTGGCCTTGAACACTGCCAGGGATGGAGCACCCACAGCTTCTCTGGGCAACCTGCTCCAGTGCCTCACCACACTCATCATAAAAAAATTCTTTCTTTACTCTAAATCTACTCTCTTTCAGCTTAAGGCAATTACCCCTCGTCCTATCACTCCATGCCTTTGTAAACAGTCCCTCTCCATATTTCTTGCAGGCCCCTTTAGGTACTGGAAGGTGCTATAAGGTCTCCTTGGAGCCCTCTCTTCTCCAGGCTGAACAACCCCCAGCTCTCTCATTCTGTCTTTGTAGGAGAGGCACTCCAGCCCTTGGATCATCTTCATAGCCTCCTCTGGAGTGACCCCAACAGCTTGATGTCTTTCTTGTAATGGGGCCCCCAGAGCTGGCCGCAGTACTCCAGGTGGGGTCTCACCAGAGCGGAGTAGAGGGGCAGGATCACCTCCCTTGAGCTGCTGGTCACCCCCAGCCCAGGACATGGTTGGCTTTCTGGGCTGCAAGCGCACACTGCCAGCTCGTGTTGAGCTTCTCATCCACCAACACCACCAAGTCCTTCTCCTCAGGGCTGCTCTCAATCCATTCTCCACCCAGCCTATAGTCATGCTTGGGATTGCCCCGACACAGGTGCAGGACCTTGCACTTGGCCTTGTTGAACTTCATGCAGTTTGTATGGGCCCACCTCTCCAGCCTGTCAAGGTCCCTCTGGATGGCATTCCTTCCCTCCAGCGTGTTGACCACATCACACAGCTTGGTGTCATCAGCAAACTTGCTGAGGGTGCACTCGATCCCACTGTCCACGTCACCGACAAAGATGCTAAACAGCACCGGTCCCAATACCGACCCCACTCATCACTGATCTCCACTTGGACATTGAGCTGTTAACCACAACTCTTTGAGTGCGACTGTCCAGCCAATTCCTTATCCACCGAGTGGTCCATCCATCAAATCCATGTCTCTCCGATTTAGAGACAAGGATGTAATGCCGGACAGTCTCAAATGCCTTGCACAAGTCCAGGTAGATGACGTCAGTTGTTCTTCCCTTATCAACCAACACTGTAACCATGTAGAAGGCCACCAATTTTGCCAGGCCTGATTTGCCCTTAGTGAAGCCGCGTTGGCTGTCACTGATCATCTCCTTATTACCTATGTGCCTGAGCATAGTTTCCAGAAGGATCTGCTCCATGATCTTGCTGGGCACAGATGAGACTCACCAGCCTGTATTTCCCCTGATCTTCCTTTTCTCCCCTTTTTAAAAACAGGGGTTATATTTCCCCTTTTCCAGTCAATGGGAACTTCATTGGACTGCCATGACTTCTCAAATATGATGGATAGTGGCTTAGCAACTTCATCCACCAGTTCCTTCATCTGCTTTTAGATGCTAAATCCCTCTGAGCTTGGCTGGTACTTGCTTGGAGACCATCCTACTTTAGTGGTGACATGTTGGACCCAGCAAATGGAAGATTGATGGGACAAGTCTACTGTGGTCGAAGCCTCCACAAGAAATAATGGTTTCAGAGGGCTCAGAATTGATGATTGGCTCAAATTCCACTGCTGTCATTCTGAGAAAAGTCTCCTGTAGCAATCAGATGTGGCCTTGGCTTTCCAGTCCAGCAAGGCTCAGACCAAGCCCCCGAAAAATCCTGTTGACTTCCCTGCACATAAACAGATCCTAAAATGGCAACGACCAACCACTGTGAACAAATGAAAACCGGGAATGAGGGAAGACACACAAGTGAGAAACAACTCTGGGGAGGGATGAGCTGTAGCTGCATTTTAGCAGTGGCACCTCGTGACACAGAGGAATGTGGAAGCAAACCTTGGCTGGAAGCATATGTGGAGCAGCACAGCAAAAAGGAA